AACCGAAGGTACCACTAGTAACAAACAAACCCCAAAAACGTAATTTACAATTTTATTCTAAAATTAAGTCCTCCCATGAAATAATTGCAAGAAGGCCACGCAACCAATGAACATAAAACAACGAAGAAAAGGAAAACGAGACTAAACCATGTATCAGATGAAGAAAATGGACAGCAAAATGTTGACATTTGATAGGAGGACTGCACTTATACAAGAACATACAAACTTTATCCAAGATCTCGTGCATTTTTGCTTCTATTTTATTTTTTACCCTAATTGAAACCAAAAAAAAAAAAAATGAAAAAAAAATGGCTTTCTTCATAATCAAATCAACATCAACGAGTTCCATCATCCTCACCACTACATTTTCAAATTGTTCTTTACTTGGATGTCCACCTTTATTATTAATAAGGGTAACCTGCTCTACCTTACTGGAGACTTATCCATCTTATGAATTTAAAAACCTTTAGCATCAAAATCAAATGAAACTTCAAATTAACTGACACTCCTAAACTCAGAGATACAGTAGTGGGTGCAAAGGTACTCTGAATAGAGAGACACTCCTAACCTCCCAAAAAAATTTATGTATTAACTGATTTGGTTCTAGCATAAAGGCATGTGAAAGTAATCAACTCACTGTAAACGTTGTCATTCTACAAGTCAAAGTAACAATACCAAAAACAAAGTAGAAAAGACCAGAAAAAAAAATTGCCCATAAGTTTGGAATATCATAGATGCAGATGCATTGACCACAGAAAAATAATGACACAAATCTTGTGCCTCCGAACAGCAAGGCCTCCAAGAAGCTTGTAACGGAGTGACTCCGCCTGAACTATTGCACATAGAACCCTGTTATTAACTTTCTCGGCATAGAGCTCCACATTGCCCTCTGGTATGGAGCTCCACATTGCCCTGTTATTAACTTTCTCGGCATGGAGCTCCACATTGCCCTCTGGAATCTTAAACCGCTTCTGAATAAGTGAAGTTAGCTCTCTAATCCTTCTAACAACATCCATTTACATGACTAAAGAAACTTTCTAAGAACATTTTGATCAGATTTCAGTAACACATTTTTAAAAACTTAGTCATTTTCAAAGGTGAAATATAGCACAAACCATTGAAAACAATTAATAATAAGATAATATGACAATCAAGAGATCAACTAATCATATAACATTTAAACATAACTATTATATAATTTATCTTGTGCTTTACAACATATTTACAAACATGATAGTTGATAGCACTAATCAAAATGCAAGGGCCAAATCAAAATAAACCCAAAAGGCAAAGACCAAAAAGCACTAGAATGGTTACAAGTGACTTCTATGCCTGACAAAATGCAATCCTAAAGTGTACCATCATTAATTAAAAATCCATTGAATACTATTATGATCAAAAGATTAAAACTAATAAATTATATTTTTTTGATAAAAAATAAAATATTATAAAGCACAAAAGCATTGCTTTATGAATGCTTTTGTAAATGTGCTTAGTTTTTTTTTTTTTTTTGGTTACAAGAAATCCTCACATTCTCTCGTAGGTTCAAGGTAGCGCCCATGTCGAGATCGCCATGGTGTCCTGTTGTTCGTTCCGGACGAGAGACTATAAGTTGGGACCTTGCACCGACCTCTTAACACAAACTCCAATTAAGTCCGGACTTACACAGTGGAGGGAAGTCGAACCCACACCAAGTGCCATGTATAGTAGCAACTTGAGGTCCTCCAACCAAAGCCAACTGCGTTGCGCCTAGGGATATGTGCTTCGCTTTAACTACCTGAAGCTCTTGAATTTGAAAATGAACGAGTTCAAGTTATTTTGAATTTTATATATATATATATATTGAAAGGGTAATTTATAAATAAATTGAGCCGAGCTGAGGAAGAGTCTTCTTCGGAAAGTTAGGCCGCATATTGGGCCAGGATAAGAGCTGGTGTAGCTCGGTCTTGAAGCTAACGAACTAGAACCAAGTGGAATATGGGCCGAGCTGTGGGTCGAGGTGTTTGGGCTTCTCAGCTTAGACATCGCCCTTTTTAGCTCGGTCAGAGATTGCTGCAGTTAGCTCGGTCTAAACAGCCAAAACCGAGATGAAAGCAGACAAGGACCGAGCTAGGCGTCGCATATGAAAGCACCGGGTTGAGTATGTCAAAGGGCTAGTGGTAGCTCGGTCATACTGTTGTTCAACCGTGGTAGTCATCTCACTTGGCTTGCAGTGATGAGACTTCTAGGAGGACTTTGTTAAGGAAAGTAGAGTCCTATTAGAATTGTGTAAACCATCTCACTTGGCTAGTAGTGAGTAGGGTGTGTGATTCCTAGAGGGATTCCTATATGGAGAGTTGGAATCCTACTAGGATTTTGCCAAGCGGAATCTATAAAAGATTATAGCAGGACCCTATGAAGCATGGACACTCCAAAATTGATGTCGTAGCAATGTCCGACATGCGGACACGCCGTGGACACGTACGGGACACGCCAGACGGCGTGTCCCTTTAATTTAATGATTTTTTGGAAGGGGACACGGCGGGAACATGCGTGTCCATTTCTGGACACGCCATGGGACACGGCGGGGCTCGTTTTTGAATTTGTTATATTTATTTGGGGTCAAAGTATAATATTTATAAAGTAAAAAAAAAAGAAAAACAACAGGCAAAACCCTAATCGAACAACTGAGGGAGTAAAGTAAAGGAGTAAAATCAGACCTGTGAAGACCTTCTCTCTCTCAGTCGAAGCCCTCTCTCTCAGTCGAAGCCCTCCGAAGTCGATCGAAGCCCGCCGACGTCGATTGAAGACCTCCGATCCAGTCGTCTCAATCTCTGTTTCAGTCGATCCAGTCGTTTTCGACCTCCGATCCAGTCGTCTTCGAAGGTAAGCCCCTCTCTCTGTGTCTCTCGCGCTCTTTCTCTTTCGCCTCTGTCTCTTTCTCTTTCGCTCTCTCTCTCTCTCTCTGCTTTCGACTGAGATGAGACTGATTTTTATTTATTTTTATACGTTTATATATATTATATATAAGACTCTTTTTTATTTTTATTTTTATTTTGATATATATTATATGTAAGACTTTTTTTTTTTTTATTTTGATTTGTTTATACATTTATATATATATATATGTAAGATTTTTTTTTTTAATTATATGTTTATATATATGTATATATATAAAACTGTATTTAAATTCTGTTTTTTTTATTTAAACTCTTTATTTAGATGAGACTGTTTTTTTTAATTATATGTTTAAATTCTGTTTTATTTAAATTCTATTTAAACTCTTTTTTTTGGTTTTTTTTTTTATCCTTTTAATGTTAATGTTAATTTATAGAAAAAATGTCTAGTTCAAATTCTGCCAATAACACACAATTTTTTATTTAGAATGAATGTAATACGAATCTACATAACACGTAAAAATATATATATATATAAAAAAAAAAAAATTCACCGTGTCCCCTGCCGTGTCCGTGTCCCCTTTTTTGGAAATTGTCGTGTCCCGTGTCAGTGTCAGTGTCCGTGTCCGTGTCCGTACTTCATAGGCAGGACCTATGTACAGGTATTGCGCTTTTGTCTATTTGTCTATTTTGCTGACTTAGGCATCGGAGAGGTATCCGGCACACAGCTGCCGGCTAGCTCGTGGTCTGTTTTCAGGGAGTAAAGTGACGACGTTTGGAGGAGCGCGGACTGTTTTCGGAGACGTTTGTGTTATACGAGAATATTATTTTGTCCTCATATATATATATATATATATATATTCATGAAAACTAATCAGAGATTGAAAAAAAAAAACTGCAAACGTCAAAAGCAAAAACAGTTGATACCAAGAACGTTGTGAGTAGGAGTAGCTCCGATAACGATCTCGGTGCGCATTGGAGTAACCATCCTCGGCAGGCTCTCTGATCAGAACTTCGTTGAGCTCAGCAAAGAAAACTCCATCAGCAACAAACTGTTGAGCCAAAAAACACACGGACCAAATCAAAACCAAAACACAATACCAAATGAAAAGAGAGTCGAACTAATAGAATAAGACTTGTTTATAGGTATCGAAACCAGAGAGAATAGACACACACACCCTTCGCTTTTTGCTCTTATGTGTCGGGGTCGCCATGGTTGATCGTGATTTCAAACAATGAATGATTGCGATTGTCGTCCGCCAAACACTGGTGTGTTTGCGAGAGTGGTCCGTAGTGCACTGCTGAATCTTTTGCCTAAACTCGGCTTATTGATTACAGACTTTTCGTTTGCAGCTTGTTTGGGAACTACTGTCGTCGCACATTTTTTTATTTTCTTTAGCTACATTACCTTTTTATTTTTTATATATATATTTTTTTTATAAAAAATTAAAAATTATATTTATTTAACACTTTACAAACAACTCTTTAATTTTATTAATGATAATTTTTAGAATATTTGGTCACAAAATTTAAAATAATCATATATTTTTACAAAAAAAATGCATGACATTTAAAAAATTGTTACTACTAAAAATAAAATAAAATAAATCCTTTACTAGTTTCATTTGACTTTAAAATTTTGTATCAGCTAATAATTGGTAATGCGCTAGATTAGCTATATGATAATAAAGCAGTCCAAGATAAAACAAAAATGATATTCAGATTAAATTTGTTAATAGAGAAATGTTATATATAATTCAACAAATATATTATCATGTAATCCATTAACTAAATTATAAAAATAAATATATCTATATCTATATCATAACTTGAAAACTTAACAATTTGGTTTCCTTTTATTTTTTTTAATATTTTTGTTTTTAACAGTTTGGATATTTTTTAAAACTTTTACCCACCATTTTCATATCATTTTGATTATGAAAAAATAATTTTGAAAATTTAAAAAGTGTTTCCTGAGAGAGAGAGAGAGAGAGAGAGAGAGAGGATAAAATGAAATTACAAGAGTAGATGCAAGTTGGGGGGTGGGTGCTTAGTAATAATAGAATAGGATAGGGTAGGATAGAATAGAATAGAATAATAGAAAATTTCCGGATAGTATTTGTGGGGTGAATACGGCTTGTGCTTCAGAGACTCAAGGACGATAAAATAAAATCAAATGTGTGTGTGTGTGTGTCCTCTTCCAAATGGAAAAGAAACTTGTATTTTAGAAGCAGAAAACTCCCAAATAAATGGCTGTGTCATCTTCCATGGCGGCGGCAGCAGCAGCAAGTGTCGTTTACATCTCCAGACGGCAGAACGTTGCATCATCATGGGCTTCAAGAAGAAAAAGAAGAAGAAGAAGTTGTTGTTGCCCGTTCTTCTCCCAATCCAGAATCATTACTACTGCCTTCCCAACAAAACCCCCCAAATACGTAATACGATGCACCGCCACTGGTAATCCATCTCCAGAAACCGAGACTCCTGTTGAAGTTCCCAAAGGACCTCCTTCTCTCATTTCTGCTCTTAATGTCGAAAGAGCTCTTCGCGGGATCCGTAATCTTCTTCTTCTTCTTCTTCTATATAAAAATCAATCTCATCCTCCTTCACTTCATCAATCATTTCTTTTATTTACTATTCAAATAACTGAACAATGATTTAGTCAAGTCATATTTCTTTATTTACTCTTCTTATTTATTTGCTTCTGCTTTCGATCATGTTAATTTCCGACTTAGATTTTGAGTTTGAATTTTGTTGTACAAAGAGTAATGTATCTCACCTTCCGATTGACTGACGAAGCTTTCATTTAGAAATGCAGCAATTACAGATGTAGATCACTATGGCAGACTTGGAATCCAAAAGTCCTGTCCATTTGATCAGGTCAACACTTGTAACCCCTGCTGTTTTATCTATTTCACTCCATTAAATTTTCTACTACATTCAATCAATCATAATAATTCTCTCTCTCTCTCTCTCTCTCTCTCTCTGAATCTGAATCTGCTCCATCTGTATTTTGTTTTTACATAAACAACTAGGTTTATGTGGCATATAAGAACAAGGTAGAAGCTTTGATGAACGAAGGAGTAGACGAAGAAGCACTCAACAAGAAGCTTGAGCTTTTAAAGGTTAGTCTCATTCGCAATTAATTTACATTCCTCTCTGTGAAATCGCCATTTTCCATGGAAACAAAACAAACGAATGAATGAACGGTCTGTGGTTCAGGAATCGTACTCGGTTTTGTCGAATGCACAAGAGAGAAGACTGTACGATTGGAGCTTGGCTAGGAGTGAGAAGCCAGACACATACATATGGCCTTTCGAGGTCGACACCACAAAAAAATCAACCGAGTCTCCTCCTCCACAGGTAATAATAATAAATAATGTTGTTGTATTAGAATATTCTCTTCTTCCCTTCATCCTTTTCTTCTCTAAAACTCCTAAAATTGGAAAATGCTATTCTTTGTTTTCATTATTCATTTTTGTTACTGATAAAAATTCAAAAACACTTTTAGTAATTCTTAAAATGTGGATTGTTTTTTTTCAAACTTTCTAAAAACAAAAAACAAATACTCAACTTTATTTGCCTCTTTGCTTTCCTCTTTCTCCTTGGTCAGGAACCAGAAGACGAAAGGCCAACAACCTTAGTTGGATACTTCATGTTGGGCTGGTTCATACTTGCTTTCACTTTGTCCATTGCACTCAATCTACTATAGGATGATATTGTACCACTACACCTTCTAACTTCAATCTTTTTTAAATTCTGAACCAGTCTTTGTTCATTTGTTTTATTTTATGTATGATACAGCACGGAAAATTGTGTGCTCTATTTTTGTTGAAGCTGGAATGAATATTTTGCTTCCATTATTTATTAACGTGTTTGTTAATTACTTTTACTATTTCAATGAGTAGCCCAAATAAATATGTGAATTGATTTTTTTCTAAAACAGATCTAATTTCATAAAAAATGATATATAACTACATTTTGTAAATCTACTTTTTAGCCCCCAATGATGTATAAATGAAATGATTAAGGTAGACATACGTGTGCGCGCGCGCGCAAGAAAGAGATTTGTTTTAGACATTTTAATACATTACCATATTAATGAATTTGAAAATTGAGTCTAATTTTTAAATTTCAATTTGTTTCTCACCAAACTAAATTTCCTTCTATTTTCAAAAAACAAAATAAAACAAACCGAAACCCAAAAAATATATATATATATATGGCAAATTGTTTTCAAAAATTATTTTCATGAATTTTTTTTTTTCAAATGGACAGTCAGCCGTTTGGTATTACTTTACTCTTTTGTTCTAGAAAACAGAACAAAAACAAAAAATAAGAAACATGATTTGCAAACTATTTTCAAAAAAATGTTTTTGAAAAAATATTTTCAAAACAGAGCTACTTTTTAGGAAATACTTCTAAATTATTTTCAAAATTTTCAAAAATAAACTTTGATAAAAAATTAAACAATGGATGATTTTAATTTTTCTAAGTCTTTTTTTTTAAATAAATAAATAAATAAAATCAAAAATAAAATTGTGAAAACAATAACAAGCTTAGTATATTTAACTTTCTTTTTTTTATTTTTTTTAATAATCGTTTTCCTTGTGAAATGGTGAAATCAAATTTATATGGAAAATCCATATAATTTTAGAGTTGTACAAAAAATTCTTCAAGGTGTAGCATTTCGCTTCAGCAAATTGTCCTTAAAAAAATTGTTTGAATTAGGTATCTTTTACAATTAATTAAGCTTCCAACTTAGGCAGCAGTGGTTGAGAAAATGGTGATGGGTGGTGACAAGTGGTAAGAGTAGAGGGCGTGGTGGCAATAACAATGATTGGCAATGACAACAATGGTGGTAGTGTAGTGGTGGGATAATGCTGTGGACAACAGTTGTGTCATAGCAATGACAATGGTAAGGGTGGTAGTGGTGGTGATTGTATGGTGCTGATTGTAGTAGTGGCCGTAGTGGTGGTGGTGTACATGGACTGATGGTGATGGAAATGTTCATGGGAGTGGTTATGGTGGTGGTGGCGGCAATGATGATAAGGTGAAAATGATGGTTATGATGGTAATGACTATTTATGGACTAGCAGTTGTGGCAGCTAAGATGGTGTAGTGGTTGTGGTAGATCAGACGTTAATGTAGCAGCTACAATTGTGCTGATGGTGGTAGGTTGGAAGCAATTTGGTAGTGGTGGGGGCAATTGTGATAATGGTAACATAGTGGTAGTTGGGTGATGGTTATGTCGACAGTAGCACGGAGGAAAAGATGGTAAAAATGGCGATGATGATGATGTTAATAGAATAACGATGGTGGCAACAATAACAATACTGTGGTGGTGATGGTGGTGTTTATTGTAGTTGTGATGCCTTCAAGACAGATGAACACACACACATATATATAATATATTGAAGGAGAAACATTGGAAGAAATGGTGATCTAACGATGATCAATGTTAGGGTGTTAGGAAGCGCACTACCGAGTTCTAGTTGGGGATCTCAGGGTGCTAGGAGCGGGAGACGTGAACAAGGAAGAAAGAGATTGTAAAGTGCTATAAAAAATCATAGAAAAGTCTCTATAATTGCAAAAAAATCTCAAGAGAAATCTGATTATGGTTATGAGAATCCCAATCCCGATCCAGATAAAATGGAGTTTGGTCCCTCTCAAAATGATGACAGCACATGTAACCCAGCATTAAGATTGGTTCCTTAGTTGATTTTTACACTAAAATAAACCAAAAAAAATACATCAATCTTAACCCAGCATTAAGATTGGTTCCTAAGTATTAACCTTCGGCTGGGAACTTGGCTTCAGGGTTCCCCTTTGAGCCCATTTCAGTATAACCAGGGATTAGGACTATAAAAACTGGCACCTTCAATTCCAATCAATTTTGTTTCAGCCAACCAAAAATCCAGGGTATTTTCAAGGCACCCACACACCACAACCAAATACTTTGATACTATAGATATGCACTTTTAACCTTTGAAATACAGTAACCCACAATTTCTATTTTATCAACGAAAAAGAAGGGTGCCATGTGTGACACTAGGACCAAAGTCAAGTAAAATATGGTAGAGAATAGGCCAATTACCCTAGTTAACACCAAAAATAAATAAGACGTCAATTCCTACTTTGAAGTGTGCCAAATATCAAAACTAAACACCATGTTCGAAAAGGCAAACACCTTGAAATTCCAAGATCAATCAGTCCTGAATTATGAATTATTTGATCTTCCTCCTGACTTTGGCTATGGTAATTTAAATTTCCAAAGTAAAAGTGCACACAAAAAGAAAGTTTTAAAAAGCTCAGGTTTCAAATCAGACCGATGCAAAAAAAAAGGTTCCTAATACCCACAATAACGAGGTATGCACTAATGTCGCGGATCCCGAGGATACTAACGATTGTTATTACAGGAAAAACCGTAAAAGAACCTAAACAAAATTCAAGGGGTGCCAGGATTTCTGTAGGGGAAGCAAAACTTTTAAGTGCGGCTGTCAAGATGGCTTAACTCGGGATGTGTTTAGACTCTAGTAAGGTCATCCAATGACCTATGAACCCAGCTCATACATAATGCACCAACCACCCCTCGACCAAAGCAGAGAAGACAATGAATAAAAATCAAGGCTTTTTTCCTTTTAACAAGAAGCCTATAAACAAAGAACTGATGAACAAACAAAGACTTACAGAACATTCATTCCCAGAATCTCTGCTTACTGATTGCAAAAACATTGACCTTAGCTATGTTGTAGACCAAAATTTATACCTAGGCAAATGAGACTCATTTCTGCCTTATCAGGGCTCACTACATATACCTCCCAAAATAACCAAGCAAGTGGGCTGAACCCAACCAAGCCAAGATGAGAAAGAAGAGGAACTTTTCCCAAGGGAAGGGATCCAATTACCTTGGAGATAGAAAGGGATGATAGATAGAGAGCATTTACATATTATTGAAAAGAACATACCTTCCATCAGCTTCAATACCTTCGTGCCAAAAGAACTTTGGGCAGCGCATAAAAAAGCATCCAAATCCTATTTTTAATTAACCAAATCTCCTCTGGCTAAAACTTTTGCTAGCGTCCACACCTCAAGTTAAAAATGTCAACAGAGTTAGCAAAATTTCAGAAAGGATAATGATGATGTAACTGTCCAAAAGCTGACCACTCTAATAGATCTGTATCAACAAAGCCAACAGAGAATTCTAAATTAGATGGTAATGAGCCTACATGTGTCCAAAGTAGTGTGCATCTTAATATATCCAGCACTTCTAGGTAAATAAAAGATGATAAAGTAGATGTATACTGAACCAAGTTGGTACAGAATAAGTACTTAAAATGAAAGCATACCAGGATCACCTAAGTCAATATATGCCACCTTATATACACCTTTACCTCAACAACATGCATGTCTTGTTTTAGTGAACTCTTTTCCGCTTGCGGTAACGATAACCTTCTCCATAGTCCTCCTCTGAGCCACTTGCCATCTGCCACCTGTCATTACACATATCGTCACTACTGGGCTTTGTGTTGCGCCTAGAATGTCTGGATGTGTGACTGGGGTCTTTGTCTTTGTATTGCTTTTTCTGATCAACTGAAGAGCATGGTTCTAAACCAGAGCCTGAGTGGCTGTGATGTTTCCGATTGGGTTCAATGTCAGACTCAACCCTCTTTCCTCCATAATCTCTTTCTTTTTTAGTCTGGTGATGGCTCCTACTAGAATCACTACCACACTTCCCCTTACTTTCACGCTGTTTGGAGCTTCTACGAGGATGTTTATGCCTCTCTTCACTCCGCCTGTCAGAACTATTGGGCATATCTTCAACTCCTGAATTTGATCTCTCTCGATGGTATGGCTTCCGATCAGATCGGTCTCTTCCAGCAATTGTGGAACATAAATTCTTCTCATGTCTTTCATCAACAGCATGGCTGTCATGATCTACATGTTTATCATGCCGATATTTCCTCTGTGATACACGAGGAAAGCTGTCTTCAGAGTAGCTTGCACTCTTTTCCCTCTCTACACGAGATTTAAACTCATGTGATCTTTCTGGCACATTACAGTGATATCGCTTATTGTAACCATCATCTTCATCATCATAAGATTGTCGTCTGGTAAACGTAGCTTTCATTAGAAATCAGGAGTGCTCATATATAGAAATTCCATAAAACAAAATGAACAGAAGCACAGAACCAACAAAATGCCCCACCAGAGTGTGGGGAGGGGGTATTTTAAAACAAGTAACAATACCAACCATAAGAGAGTACATTCAAAATCAGATAATTTACATTTCAGAACATGATAATGCTAGAGAAAAGAAGACAAAACAAGGCAGGTAAAAAAGCAACAAGGAAGTTCGCAGTAATATCAACATCTAAATCATTGAAGACCAATATAATGAAAGCAAAGACACCATAAGAAATAAGGCACATGAAATTCATGAACCACAATATGTCCAAGAACACTCACCTCTCCTGTCCCCTCTCAGGCACCCATAAAGAGAGAGGAGATATGATTCAAAAAGTAAGAGAAGAAGGGGGGTTGGAAAGAGGTTAGAAATAACTAGTCCATGAGATTGGACCAGCAATTGACCATGAAAAAGGGGACTCTCTAAAAAAAAAAAAAAAAAAAAAAAAGCAAATTTCAGGCAAAAAACGCAGATCTCTTGTATAAATAATGCTAGTAGAAAAAAGATGCAAACTGCCTTATCGAATACTAAAACGAAATGAAATAAAATAGGGTGCCATTATTTCCAATTAAAGACATTTAGAAGCAAGTGATAATCTAATTTATTTTGAAATATATTTTAACAAATTTAAACTAAAACAATGTATATACATATATATCATTAGCCACATCAAGCATGTCCAGCTTCCCCCACAAATGCAAATGCTGCAGACTACAAAGTTATTGCATACTTCTTGCTTCCAAATACTAATGAAGCAAATGTCATTAAAGAAGTGAATGGCCCAAAATTTCCAAATTATACTTAGAAAATATGAGGAAAAAGAACTCCGAAAATATGAGGAAGAAGGAATATATTTCTGTTATATTCAAAACTTCTTATTTTACAAGACCAAATGACACTCCTTATATAGGAGATATTACAAACATCATTATAACCCATTATATGCCACTTACATATTATATATTACCACTATCTACCACTATCATACTATATACATGCCACTATCTACCACCAACACCACTATCATATTATATACATGCCACTATCTACCACCAACACCACTATCATATTATATACATGCCACCATCTTATTATATACATTAACACAAATTTCTAGCATAAATAATGTGCAATGATTGCTATATACCTAATTTAATCATTGTTAGGTTAACATGGTGTTATCTGGTTGATTTTATCTTAGAAAGTATGGCTTGCATTATTATTAAAATTGTTATATTTTTCTGGGGGAAAACAACAATAGTTTGGCATCATATATGCATTGGGGCAACTGATTTTTCATTGTATTATAATTACCTTTACAAAAACAACCTAAAGTCTATGCTGAAACTGATCTACTTTTTAACTGAGATTGGCTCAGGTTGTAATGTCCTTTCATGAATGTGGAGGCAACGTTGGTGATGATGTTTGTATACCACTGCCACATTGGGTGGCAGAAATCGGTCGAAGCAATCCTGACATATTTTTCACAGATAGAGAGGGAAGGCGCAACCCTGAATGTCTGTCATGGGGAATTGACAAGGAACGTGTTTTAAGAGGCCGGACTGCTGTAGAGGTATTGCATTCATCCTTTTATATATGTATTTGCGTGTGGCCATTATCCAAATTATTAGTCATCATAATCTTTGTGGCCATGCAATTGTTTATGGTTTTTGGATTTTTATTTTTTGTTCTTAAAAACTACAGCTATTGCTGAAATACAGATGTTTCTAAAGATATCTGTTTCTTAGATTTTATTTTGACTCATCATAAAACTTTTCTTCAGACTGAGTGCATTTTTTTAAAAAGCGTAGGACCCTTGTGTTGGGGCCCTCCTCATGTTTTCTATTTATTGTTGTTTAAAGTTTTTCTTTTGGGTTTGACAACTGCTAAATGCACTCTCACACAAACAAACAAACGAAAAAGCCATGACTGATGCATGATGTTAGTGCTTTTCTTTAAGGGCAATTTGACCAACTTATTTTTGCACACCAGATAGCTTCTTTTCTTGAATTGTTTACCCCCTTCATTTTTTCTTTTTGAATTTGCCCCACCCTCCCTGGTATTCCCTCTTTATGTCGTGTAAATAATGATTTCGATTTGGATATTTTACCAGTTGTGTTGTCAAAAACTGATGTAGGTTTACTTCGACTACATGAGAAGCTTCCGGGTTGAATTTGACGAGTTCTTTGAGGATGGTATAATCTCTATGATTGAAGTTGGACTAGGTCCATGCGGGGAGCTACGATACCCATCAAATCCCGTAAAGCATGGTTGGAGATATCCAGGTGTCGGTGAATTCCAGGTGGCTGACCAAATATTTTTAATTTTAAATACATAATGATGCAATCTTCACTGTGTTTGCTCTTCCAGTTTCTGTTTTCTCTTTTTTTAGTAACACCAGAAATTAATTTAATTTTTTAGAATTTATGATAATTTGAAAGAAAAAAATTATGATAATTCGCTTGAGAAGTTGATGATGTGACATTCCCTTTCCTGACTGGTTTTTCTCTCTACCTAAATCAACTTTTTTTTTTTTTTTTAATATGTTGTACTGGAGTTCTCGTTACTCGTGAGAAGTTCATATTGAGATATGTATGACCAATATCTGTCTCAGTGGAAAAAATTACTGGATCAGAGGAAGTAATACATTTTTTTTTTTTTTTTGATATTGAAGTTCTGAATTACTTATTTTATTGTGAACTGCCATGGTTCGTTTACAGTGTTTGGTCATCATCCAGCATCTTGTGAAAACTTCACCAATAAATATGTCATGTCCATCTGAAACTTTGCCACTCTTCTGAGCATCTATCAAACATGTTTCTTTTGCAGTGTTATGATCAGAATTTGTTGAAAAGCCTGAGGAAGGCAGCTGAAGCAAGGGGACACTCTTTTTGGACACGAGGACCAGATAATGCAGGTTCCTACAATTCCCGGCCACATGAAACCGGATTTTTTTGTGATGGAGGTGATTATGATGGCTATTATGGCAGGTTCTTCCTCAGTTGGTACTCTCAAGTTCTAGTTGACCATGGTGACCGGGTACTTTCTTTGGCCAAGTTAGCTTTTGAAGGCACTTGCATTGCTGCAAAGGTGAGTCAGCTTTAAGACTAATTTTAAGTTTGTGAAAATGAATTTTATTATCCTTATTGAGATAGCAACTGATTAGGATCTATTTTTTCAGTTCTACTTTCTCTTCATAGTACTTAAGTTCTATGTTTATTTATGATCCACTGGGATGATTTAGTTTGCAAAATTTATGTACCACAGTTTGATTTCACTAATCCTTTCTGAATTAGTAAAGTGCTAAGCATATTGGTATGTTCAATCGAAGTAGGTTCCACGCCAAATTCTCATTGTAGAGTCGAAAGACCCGCTATTTCCTGAGTGTCAATTAGATGTTTATTTTTTCGTTCTGCAATGCCATTTTGTTGAGGGGGTATCCCGACATGTAGATTGATGAAAAATTCCCTTTTTTTTCAAAAACTCACCCAACTGCTCATTGAAATATTTTGTTCCATTATCAGAATGTAAAATATCAATTTTGGTTTGAAATTGGTTTTCAATCATATTGTAAAAATTTGTGAATAAATTTTTCACGTCAGATTTTTTATTCATCAAATAAATCCAACATAAGCGGGTATGGTCATCAATAAATGTAACAAACCATCTTTTACCAGAAAGAGTAGTGATTTTAGAAGGGCCCCAAACATCACTATGAATCAAATAAAAAGGTTTTGAAGCCTGGTAAGGTTTTGGCAAATAAGTAGAGCGATGAAATTTTGCAAAAATGCAACTTTCACAATGAAAAGAAGAACAATCAATCCCTTTAAATAATTTTGGAAATAAATGTTTCAGATAAAGAAAACTAGGATGTCCTAGCCTATAGTGCCATAGCATTATTTTTTCTCGAACAGAGATTGAACTGGTACTATTAAAGCTCTGAGCTTTTTTATTACTAGCAGGTACTTCATCAAAGTAGTAAAGACCTTCAAGCATCCTAGCACGCCCAATCATCATCCCCGAGTTCTTGTCCTGAAATTCACAATGGGATTCAAAAAATGTAACACGACAATTAGAATCCTTAGATAGTTTACTGACAGACAAAAGGTTACAGGCTAAGTTGGGGACGTGAAGAACAGCATTGAGATTAATTTTCTCAGTTAGTTTAATAAATCCTTTTCCTGCAATAGGTGAAAAACTACCATCGGCTATTCTGATTTTGTCATGACCGGAACAAGGGAAATAGGTACTAAATAAATGGGAAAAACTAGTCATGTGATCGGAGGCACCGGAATCTATGATCCACGGAGAGAAGTTTAGGCAAGAGAAGGCTTTAGGATTTCTACCTGTTTGTGCCAACAAAACACTAGGAGTACCGGTTGAGGAGTTGGATTTTATCAGCTTTAAGAGTTGATCAATCTGCTCTTTGTTGAAGGGACTTGAATCGGCTTCATTAGCGGTAGGAAAGGCACGATTCTTCTCTCCTTGTTTGCTGCTTTTCCAGTTGACAGGTTTGCCATGGATCTTCCAACACGTTTCGCGTGTATGGCGAGGCTTGTTGCAAAAATCACACCAGACCCGTGGCTTATCATCAAACCTGCGCTGGTAATTTGCAGCCTTGTTGGCCGCAGCATCGCTAATTAAAGCAGAAATTTCAATTGATTCACCATTACCTTTTTTCTTAAGCATGACGCTCCTTCGGCTCTCTTCCCTTTTGACTTCGGCAAATACTTCGCCAATGGATGGGAGAGGAGGTCTGCCAATAATTCTTCCTCGCACTTCATCGAACTCAATGTTGAGGCCGGCAAGAAACTTGTAAATACGGTTGTCTTCCACAGTTTTCTTGTGGTGGTTGCAGTCGTCAACTGATTTCCATTCGTATGTGTTGAAGATGTTAAGATCCTGCCACAACCTTTTCAACGAATTGAAATATTTGGTGACGGAATCATCTCCTTGACGAATCTCTCCCAACTTCAAAGTTAATTCGAAAACTTGAGATTGATTTCCTAGGTCAGAATACATCTGACTAACATTATCCCACAATTCTTGTGCAGTAGGATAGCACATGTAATTAGAGCTTATATCCTCCTCCATGGAATTGACCAACCATGTCATAACCATGGAGTTTTCAGCGTCCCAATTGTCGAACAGCGGATCATTCACAGCAGGAGCCTTCTTGTCACCAGTGGTGTAACCGATCTTTCCTTGCCCACGGATATACATCTGGACAGATTGTGACCAGCGGAGAAAATTATCACCATTTAGGCGGATGGTGGTGATTTGGACAGAGTGAGAGTTGGACGTTTTCACCGGAATGGCAGCGGCAGGGGTTGAAGTGGTTTCGGACGTGACTTCCGACATGGCTATGACGGTTTTAGGGCTGCTGTGTTTTTTGTAGCTCTGATACCAACTTAGAAAATATGACGAAGAAGAACTCCGAAAATATGAGAAAGAAGGAATATATTTCTGTTATATTCAAAATTTCTTATTTACAAGACCAAATGACACTCCTTATATAAGAGATATTACAAACATCATTATAACCCATTATATGCCACTTACATATTATATATTACCACTATCTACCACTATCATATTCTATACATGCCACTATCTACCACCAACACCACTATCATATGCCACTATCTTATTATATGCATTAACACAAATTTCCAGCAATTATCTTGGACAAGAACATCTCCATTCCTGTGTCATCAAGCAAATGCATCAAAGTTTCAACAATGTAGTCGGATGTAGATAACATAACAAATCTATTAATATTAGGAAGTGCAGCACCCTTCCTAATAGTTGGGGATGGTTGGCGGACCAATGTTTTGATTTGTCAATTTTACCCATGTCATTATTCTAGCAATAAAAAGGACAACACTTTTTAAGTAATTTCAACAAATTTTGAATATACCACGTCTTTTATAACTCCTCGCCACACTCCAATATTCATGCTACTTTATCTTTAGAGGTCTGATCACGTGAATGGGTGCGCACCATGTCACATGCGCATCACATGTGACAATCTCTCCAGTGCAAGAGAAAATAAGCATATAAACCATTTAACTAATGACATGAATTCTACCCCAATCCCCACGCGGTGTGTGTGTACTGAATTGACACTTTCCATCCACACTGTTATTTTTTTGGTATCATTAAAGATTACCTCCCCAGATTCTCATTTGAAAGCTTCCATCTGTTTTCACAATCTCGAAGCTGCATATTTTCTGAATGGGTTAGAGGACGTTCTGAACCAGTTTGTACTTGAGGTGCCAACATACCTCCCATCCTCATGAATCCACTGTAAGATGTCATGCACTTTCAGTGTCAAAAATTTACACATGAATATCCACAAATGTATACATATATTTTGATATGACAAAGCAATATAGAGGAACATGTTAATCAGAAGCAGTCTGTTGAAGCAGCAAGTTATACATGTGCACACAAAAAGATATATTTTATTATGCACCAGACTTGCCTGGGAACAGGTAAGCCTCCATACATAGATGGCATATATGGAGGAACTGCAAAAGGTGAAGAAGGGACCATTCCAGAATTGAAAGGCATCATCCCAGAATTGCCATACATATTAGTGAAGGGCCTGATGGGGGGTAATGGATTGCTATTCCAAAAAGGTGAAGCATAACCTGACATAGCTCCTGGAAACATAGAATTTCCTGAAATTCCAACAATAATAAGACCCCAGACAAGTCTTTCACAATGTCAATGCATATACATGCAAAAGCAGACAAGGCATACACAATCTTTACCTGTTTGAAGCATAGGGTATGGGCTGGAAGCAGCTGGACAGTCTCTTATGAAATGGTCTGGAGAACCACACATGTAACAGGTACGATCCCCCTGATCTCCAACAAATGTAGACCACATTTAGAAATCTCTCTCACAGACAATGGTTAAAAATCTGTAAACCATACAACCACCCACCACCACTGTTACCATCCAAGGCCATCCCACTGCTGCCATCATCAGTGGGCCAGTGCAAGCCATGGCCACCACCAACACATCACCACTCACCCACCCCCCATCACCACCTCTGTCAAAAGCTAAATCAGTCCACCCATCTCACCAAAACCATAACTTTAGCGAACTACAAGTGAAAACCAAACTGCCCCTCTCAGAAAACATCATTGTCACAGTGCAAGTCGAATTTGTGCCCTGATGCAATGCTAGTTTAACACTGTTCAGCACAAATGAAACTGTGTATAGCACAACACATAATAACTGTGCCAATCCCACACAGTTCTCACTAGCACCAAGCAAAGTTCTTATTTGCACTGGACAGTGTTACACTTCCACAGGGGCATTGTTTTCACTTGCACCTGTGCAAGTAAACCCCTCTCGTCCTCCCCAACCCCGATCCAAGCTACCTGCCACCCCTTCTCCCTCCATCACCATCCCAACCTTGCACCATCTCTTCAGCAGCTACCCCAGCCCCTCACACAAACCTCATGCCCACCCCCTTCAAAAACCATAACCATACCCAACTTTCCCCAACCCTTTTTGTCATTCTCTAATGGTGGATGGATGGAAGAGACAGAAAGAGGGATGAAAGCAGCTAGTGGATAGTGGAGCAGATTAGTGTTGGAGGTTGGATCTGGGTCATGACGGTGGAGGCCATCGCTAGAGGTGATGGCCTAGGGGTAGGGGGCTGCCATGGTTCTTGAGAGGGAGGGAGAGAAGAAAAGGGGTGGGAGCTGTCATGGATGGTTGTTATGGGTGACGATGGGGGTATCAGTAGTGGCCTTGGCTGGTGGCCATTGGCGATGGCCGCAGTGGCATGGCTTGTGGTGGTGGATGTGGACATCTGGTTTGGGAAAAGAGCAATTTGACCCAAAAAATAAGATTCATGTCTTTTGCTATTATTTTCACCTATATTCTATTTCCTAAAATTTCAAACCACCTCATATTTTCTGAAATTTCAAAAAAATGTCCCACCGACTTGATAATATTTGCCCTGTTTACCACTGATTTAATATCTTCCCTTTTAATAAAAGGTGGCATAATTACTAGTTAATTATAAGAACAGAAAAACCATTCCTCAAATGCTTACCTTTTTGTGTCTACCAGTAGCCATAAAATTCCTGTCTCCACCTGAAAAGCCATTGTCATCATCAAAACAGATCAAATTTAGATGCACAAATTATGTCCGTCCACAAGAGGTTCAGGTTGTGCAAAATAAACTGTAAAAGTAGAATCTACCTCCAGTGTTAACCCACAATCCCCTCTTTTTGTTGATGGTAAAATCAACTGCAGTGACAAAACCAAGAAACAAGCACATCTGAGTTTCAAACTAAGGAAAAATAATTGTAACAAAGACTACATGAATACAATCATGCATAAAGTATTTGAATTCTAGTTGAGTAAGCTGAATAGCATTAACAATTGAAACCTATGAAACACAAACACTTTTAAGGTGTTGTGTCGAACACCAACACAACACTCATCGGGCACTTCTCAAAACCTGTTGGACACACATCCAACCATATCCTATTATTTAAAATAAAAAATAAAAAATAAAAATCTAGATTCAAATACACTTCAGAGACTTGGGAGACACAGGTGTCTATTGCTCAAACACATGAAACACGTTACAAGTTTGAATAAGATAATTAGAATCCAATGACAAGAAAAACAATTTAAATCTATAAAGCACATCTGAGTTTCAAACTAAGGAAAAATAATTGTAACAAAGACTGCATACATACAATCATGCATAAAGTATTTGAATTCTAGTTGAGTAAGCTGAATAGCATTAACAGTTGAAACCTATGAAACACAAACACTTTTAAGAAGGTGTCATGTCGTGTCGTGTCGAACATCAACACAACACTCATCGGGCACTTCTCAAAACCTGTTGGACACACATCCAACCATATCCTCTTAGTGAAAATAAAAATAAAAAAAGTTCTAGATTCAGATACACTTCAGAGACTTGGGAAACACAGGTGCCTATCGGTCAAACACATGAAATACATTACAAGTTTGAATAAAATAATTAGAATCCAATGATTAAAAAAAAACAACAATTTAAATCTATAACTATTCTCCTCCTTCAGAGTTTGAACTTTAGAAAATAGTGTTGCATTGCATTTTGTTATTATCTTTAAATTAAGCATTATATACATGACATATAATATTATGCTTATATCCAACATATAATAAATATATAAAATCATATATTTTGTGTGTGTCCCCACGTGTCATGCCCCATATTTTTTGAATTATTTTTTTTTTCCCACACTTTAGTGTCATGTCATGTGTCCGTGTCCACACCTCATAGGTTGGAAACATTATTTAACAATAAACAAATCATAGTCATAAAATTGCAGTGTTGCAAAGATCAAGCCAAGTTCATGAGCCAGTACCTTCCTCGTGCACATGACTTTGAGGAAAATTGTGGGGCTGACTTTCCCCTTGAAAATCAGGACAAGCCTCCGAATCGTCTCCACTTCGAAAAACCTCATGATGAGCATATCCAACTCTTTCTCCATCTGTTTGTTTCAACTTGTGTGATAAAGGAGCTGATTTCAAAGCTTTACTCGAACCCAAGTTACTGGTATGAGAACCAGAGCCCCCTAATGACACGTTCTTTTTTATCCGCGACTCATAAACAGATTCTGTCATAATTTGATTGGAGCCTTTTTCTGTTGCAGAGGGAGAAAGTGGCATGTTTGGCTCCCTTTGAAGGATAGTCACAGCACAAGAAAAATCTTTTGCTTGAATTCCAGATTCACCATCTGTGTTTGAATTTTTTAAAAGTTATAAACCTTCAGTGTTTTTCTTTATTTCTTTCAAGCATCTTAATATTAATTTACACACCTGGGGCATATTTATGCAAAGCATTGTCTGCATCACTCATAAGAATTTGAGACTCGAGGAAATGCTCTATTGCTTGCCTAAGAGATAAATTCGGTAACAAATCTTCAACCTTACATTTGCTAGAATAACATTTGGGACACTTTGCCTTCTCCTGTATGACTGCGCGGATACCTGCACCAAACCATAGACAAGATTTCAGCTGCTCATAAAAGATACAATCACTGTCCTCTCTCATGCTTTCCAAACAAAAAATTAGTGCTTGCAGAAAGATCAAGTTCAGTACTATTTTCAACATTTTTAAGTGTTCACTGTTGTTAGAGTCATCATTCAAACAAAGATATCATTGGATGCCTGCAAGTTCAAGGTCATAAACATGTTCTTAAGGTTAAGAAAATGACAATGTGTATATGTTCAATCTAGCTTACTATGACTTGCGGAGCTTACATTTTTCACAAAAACTATGCTGACAGCATGGTATCATTACAGCCTCCTTGAAAAATGTGTTGCAGAGAGAGCATTTCAGTTCTGATGGAAAATCATCATTTTGCACGGCTGGACAATTGGCAACCATCCTTTGATTTCCATGGTGACAAAATATCAGATCTCTGAAGCCGAAAAACATAAGAGGAATGAACAGAAATGCATAAAAAATATTACTTTTCCAGTTTCATGGGTTCTTCGCCATTCAGTTCCACTTTTGTCTGTGAAGTATTTCTTTCTGTGACATTATGATTAGGACCTGACATTATATTGGAGCATGTTAAGTCTAAAAGTGTACAATACACAAGCAATAAATATACAAGGCAACAGTATCAACCTCTAGGAATAGCCTCACTAAGGTCACTTGCTTCAAACACTTGACAACCTACCCTGCTGCACAACAAAAAGCTTCCGAAGTAATAACAAAATATGATAAGTCATGAAAACAAATATCTAATTCAAACAAATGCAACAATTCAAATCCACCAAAAACTTCAGTTTTGTATGAACTAGAACAAGCATTGAAGCTAAGACTGTAAAAATAGGCTCTAGCAGATATGAAAATTTTAAATCCTGGAAAGCAGCAGCACACTTACTATTTCTGCATAAGAACAGTTTATAAATCATGGAAAGAAGCAGCACACTTACATTTTTGCATGAGAACAGTATACCTTTATTTCTCCCCTCAGTTTTAATATGATTTAATTCTTTAAAAACATTACAAATATTGCAGAACACTCACAGCTTAATTTCATGCATACACGATGATGTTAAAGGAAACCGAAAAAGCACTACCAAGCTGGAGAACATGCAATGCATTTTTATGAAAGTAGTTCTCATGTGGTATGATACATTACTGATCAACAAGCCACTTTGAATCATAAATGCTTCATATGAGAAGAGAAAACACAAAATCCTAACACACACACACACAGATCTTAAGGTTTCAAAGATTGCTGATTCAACTGAAGCAAAACTCAAAATTCTTCCCCTAAACCAAACTAAGCCTTGTGTCCCAATCAAGTGGTGACTAGAGTATGCAAAAAAGTATTTCATTATGACCTTTGTACAACTATAATTCGAAGTATGAAAGATTTCAAGTGACAAATTTTACATTGTTATTTCAAATCAATCGAAACTTATCATGGTAAAGCTCTCAAATTCAACCTTTGTTATTTTACATGTATAAATTTGAGTTATACTCCTTGGATGATTGTTGTCCGAATCCTTTCATTTCAAATCTATAAATTTCCAGACGCACCTAAAAGTATTTGTAATGTAAAAAATAAAATTGTTGTATATGTTAATTTATTGCCGTGTCCCTACAGGTCGTGTCTTGATGTTTTTGAAAATTGTCAAGTCAGGAAGCACGTATTGTGTCATATCTGTGTACATATCATATATGCATCTTAGGAAAGAAATTTCTTCTCTACGTGATAACAGTCTCCAACTGAAATGGGAAGGTTGAAAGGTTCGTTCATATCATGTCTTTAGAGCTTTTGATATTTATAAATTAATCACTTTAATCGGCCAGATGAATCAAACATTTAATTAGTATCTAGTAAACATATCTAATACTTGGCAAAGAAAATTACGACTCAACCACACTTCATTACATCCATTTCAACTAAGAAATCATGATCCAACAATTTTGTTGTATAAAAACGTGTATGTTCTTAACCCAATCATAACTCAAACCATTCCCAATGTGCGATGTACAAATAAAAACACTCTGGTTATGGAATATCCATATAACTCAAGGAATGCAACAACACAACCGAACCTAATCAATACAGAAAAAGTGGAAAAGAAAAATATAAGTAAAACACAGAATCTAATGGCTGAGTGGTGTCAGTGTCTTACCCTTATACTATTATATGTAACAAGTTACAAATGCAAGCCAACTGCACAGCCAGCAGATATATATATATATATATAACAAAATAAATAAATAAATTAAAAACAAGAGCAGAGTCATACCTGGCGAGGGCATTTTTTGGCTTCTCATTGCTAATACAGTAGTTCTTATCAAATTCAAGATCAGAGTCAGATAAGGCTGCCTCAGGAATGGGACACAAGTCAACTCCAAAGTCATCAAAGTTGTCCGTTTCTGCATTCTATTAAAATTTTAAAAAGTCAAGAAGTAGAAGGAGATAAAAATTAGGATAACAAGCAGAAACATTAATAAGGTCACAAGATATCATGTAAAGACCATGGGCTTTCCTGAAATAAAACAGCAAAAAGATAAGTCATAGGAAGTCAGAGGAAAACACCAGAAAGGCCTGTCCAATGCAAAAGCCACATTCCGCCTTTAAGATTACATGTTATGAAGCATGAATACTTTTAAAAGGGTGCCGTACAATATGTATACATACATGATATACACAAAAATATTGCCCCGTATCCTGCTTCTAAAAAAATTCATGCTAATGTATCCGTATCGTGCCATACTCATATCCTACATCCTTATTCATGCTTCATACATTACATTTAAAGGTGCTCAAGTTGTACCAAAATCCTATCCCCAGGGTGTTGACACAAATTTCGCAAGTGCAACTGAATTTCGAAACTTCAGTCCACAAACATCTACTGTTTAGTTGTTGAACTAAACAATGTTGATTGTTTGTAGGCTCTCATTTCCAATCTGGTGCTCCAAATCATTAATTATTTGCTTTAAAAAAATAAAAAAATAAAAAAAGACATCTCCAATTAATAGAGAACATAAATTAACATAAAAACAAATATTTAAAAGGAAATATATTTAAGTAGTATAAAAATTTTAATTGAAATCATACGATACAATAAAAGGGTTTGCAATCCTTTTTATCAATAGTACTCCATTTTCACCATGTTGAAGAAAAGCACAGACAATAAATTTGATTTCATTAAAGAGTGCAGAAGAGCTCCACGTGACAGAAGCTTAGCAGATTTCTTCATTGATTTGAATTTAAACCAATTTATGAGAACGTAGTTTAAATTTAAACGCAATGTTAACAAATCCAATATTTCAAATTTAATATTAAATCTTCTAGAATTGTCCTCTGCAGCCTTTTCCACAGTAGGCCCTGACTTGTTGTCCCTTGATTGATTCCATTGTCCCTTGAATTTTGAGGTCCCCACATGGCGTTTGTATAGTTTAGGTCCAAGGTTCTGAGTTCAAAGCATCATTAGCCTATTAAATTCTGGTTAATCCACAAACGGATCTTAGCCCAACCTTAGGTTCCTTAGTAATTATCTAGTTAAAAATTTACGTGCCAAGTGCCAAGTGCCAAGATAGGTTGGGTCTATATTTAATCCACCCCTCCCAGCAACAGTGACCAAAATTATGTCCTCATAGCTTTTCCCCTCAAAACTATCAAAGAATGTAAAACTAGTGTTCTAACTTGAAAGGAGTAATAACGGATATAGCTATATTAGGACATTCCGGAAGACTCCTCTTACCAACAATGCTAACCTAAATCTTTTAAGACTTTTAGTTGTCTAGAAGAGCATGGGGTGAAATATACAAGTGTAACCAAACCAAGCTTTGTGTCCCACTCAAGTGGGATTGGCTACAACATTCTTCTCTGTCAAGGGATATATGTTCAATGAAATATATATGTGTGTGTGTGTATACTTTAGTGTCACATACCAAGGGAAAATATCCAATGGGATTAACGGGGTTGCTGTCTTTCGCCCCCAAGTTCTCAACTGAATTGATGGGTGCCCTGCAAAACAGTCATTACATGCAGAAGTCATTATACTGATAACAATAGAAACCACTTGCAGTCAGATACTCTGCTAGGATGTTCCATTCCAAACCATAAATACATAAATAAAAAAAATATAGAAAGAAACCAAAAAAAGCCACCCATATTTTACTTGATTACCAGTTAATATGACAGGATTCACATTCTATATGATCACAGATATTTAATTCTATATTTTGCAAGGAAATTTATTCACTCAAGTAAACAAAACTAATACTTTAGTATATAATGAGAGCGCCAAGCCAATAGCAGAAACGTACCCTTTTGCTCTCTCTCTCTCTCTCTCTCAATAAAAACAGAGATGCCAAAATAGGATACACAGAGTTGAAGCTGGACAATGAGGACACAGTGAAGTAGTACAAGGAGCAGCCGCACCTGATGAAGGGCATTCTGACTACTGTTGCACCTTAAGCGTCACCATCCTTCCATTGCCGCCGACCATGGTTAGAAAACAAGAAGCATAAGAGACTCACCTGACTTTGACGTACCCGACAGAATACCGGTATCACCAAAATTGACCGAAATTCTCTAGTTTTGAAATGGTATTTGATCTAGTGTGGAATAGCCCAATTCATTGATGTTAAAAATCCTTATATGGCCACAAATTAAACTTTCCAAAATTGCATGAATCAGAATATCATCAATAGCACTCAAATGACACCAAAATAAAAAGTTTTTAAAACTTCTAAAGGCCTGCATGGATTACAACCTAAGATAAGCCTTCTATCTAAAATAGTTCCCAAAAAGAGAAACTTCTAACAATTAATAGTTTCCAACAAATGAAATATCCTAGACAACTAGAAGAATAGGAAAAAAAATAAAACCAGTCACCACAATTAAGGATCCTAATATCATCGAACAAAAAACGCCCATCACATAATGGAATGTTAGGCCCTCATTTTCAACAGCATTAAAATATCACATAAGAAACGGCCGTTAAGGCACCCTACTCTTCCGTTACGACATCGAAGCGTGGTGAAGCGGCCGTTATTCACGTGTAACATTCGATATTGTTGGGAGTACGAGAAAACAAAACCTGGGATGAGGATTCACTATGTAGGCTCAGAATCTTCATGGGGAAAGCAAATATACAGCCTTCTTCAATACCGAGTTAGATTCAAGCTAGATCTACCCATACAAGGTTGTTAAAATCGGAATCTTACGTAAGATCAGTGAGAGTGTCTCGTGGATCAAATCATAGAATCAAATTGAGGATCATAAGATTTTCTACTTTCTATTAAAATGAAGGTGAAAATACAAATCAGGATGATGCGTATTAAAATAAAACAAAAAATCACAAATCCAACGATCCTACTTATGATCCCATACAACCTTACTTTCGGTGCTGCTATAACACCGATCCTACAACAATTTGGATCGTTTTAACAATTTCGGATTGCAATTTTGATAACCATGCCTATACCTAGCAAGCTGATGCTAGATCGAAGCTTTCGAACAAGATCGAAGCTCGGGTGTGCACTATGCATGCAACATGTGCCACTTTCAAACCAGATTGGAAGAAGATAGAAGCTTGGGTGTGCCAAAATAGCTCAAACAAGCTCAATTCAAAGATTTTGAACAAGATTGATCACTCCAAGTAAGGTAACAAGATTGAAATTTTCAACTGTTGGGTAACCATTTCAAACAATATGGGTCAGCATTTTGTTTTTGGTTAATTAATATATGGTTGGTTTGGCGTTTCCTTGTAATATGAGATCTATTTCTAACCGTGTAGGATAGTGGAGTGGGTGTTTGAGTGTTAATTAATGAATACTTTTCTTGTGAATGCAATTGCAGTAGAGTGACTGACTAATAATCACAATGCCACGTGGGAAATCGGGGAAAACACCTGGTGATGATATTAGATGGCGATTCGCATATCTCATGCCAGATAATAGGCATAAAATATATTGCAGGTTATGTGAGTGATTGATTACGAGTGGAATCACAAGATTAAAACAACACTTGGCTCGTTTTAAAAGCAAGTTCTACCATGTCCTAATGTTGCAATAGAAATTCAAGAATAAATTATGAAACACCTTTTGGCACACATTTTTCTTATTCCCATTACACATTGGCTGATGCTCCAATATCCATTACACGCAACCATGACCGTTAAACCAACCCATTCCACAACTTAAAACCATGCATAATATGTAAAATTACTAAAGACATGATACTAGAGATTAATTAAGAATGACTCAACTAAGGCCCCATTTATTATAGCTTATGGGGGACACTTGCAACATTTTTTTATTTTTTGAGCACGTCTCAATGTTTCAAATTGACCTTTGTCTATCAACACCACAGAATCCCCCCCCTCTCCACCCGGGGTCCTCCCCAAAAAACTATATATATATGCACGCAAATTATTAAATAGAAGCACACATCCTCTTACAAGGAGAAAAAGGGGTATCATCCTATGCTACATGGGCTCGGCACTTTGGGGCAAAGTACCCTTGTCGACACGACACAACAAGACACGGGTGCGGGTGTAGGATCTGTGTCGGATTCTCCTTTTCTCTCTCAGACAAGGCTCTTTGCAAACGGCGGCAAAAGAAATGAAAGACGAGAGAGCAAGAAAGAGCCTAGTCGCCGTTCGAAAGGACGAAGACATTGGTCGCCAACTTCGATCCCTCTAGTCGCTGGCTTCAACAGCTTCGACTTTCGCGCGATCTACTTCTCTGTCTTCTCTCTCGTCTCTTATCCCTCTCCTCCTCTCCTCTTGTCTCTCGATCTCAATCTCCCTCTCCTCTCTCGATCTCCCTCTACTCTCTCTCTCTCTTCTTCTTTTTGTGTCTTCTCTTCTCTCTGTTCTCTTTTCTCATCTTTGACTTCTCTCTTCTTCTTTTTGTGTCATCTCTCTGTTCTCTTTTCCTATCCTTTTGGTTACATTTATATTATATAATATATTCACTCATAAAAAAAATTAAATAATATAATATATCATAAATAATATAATTTTTATATCTAAAATAAAAATAACTTATTTTATCATATATAATACAATTTATTTTATATCTAAAATAATTTATATAATTTTTATTTATTATTTATATTTTATTTGTTATTTGTTATTTTTTTTTAACAAAATCTGTTATTCCTTAGTTTTTTTTAATTCATCTTCATATAATAAATATTTTAAAAAAAAACTATTTCACGTATACCCGTATTCAAATTTGGATACATATCCACGTATCCTCAATTTTTAATTTTAAAATGCCCGACCCTAGATACGCACTCGCTCCCGAGTCTGTGTAACATAGGTATCATCACATCCTAATGAGTGAATAATAGCATTAGAAATTGTTGTAAATGTGTTACCTAGGCTCTTCTATTTCCCCTAGAGTACCTATGTCCACCGGATATGACATGAGCAAAGATGTGGAATATGTGTCCGACACTTGTACTCAATTTAGACACTCGGATCTTTTAATTAGTTACAATATATAAAAAAGAAAAAACTCATATTTGCTAGTAAAACAACATTTTTAGCCACTCACATGAATTAAATCTAGAAATTTCATATTTTTTCTTAATCCTGTTTAATTTCTAATATATTTCTACATAATTTACAACATCTCATCCGAGAATATTATATAATATGCAATACATATGTGTATATGAAGCGTCCTCGTACCCATACCTAATTTTGAATATATATCCCAAGATCCAAAGATTTAAATTTACAAAAGTATGATGCTTGGATATATAACCACACCCGTTACTCATGCCTAAGTCCGTGTAACATAGGTTGTAACTTATATTTATTACAATTCATGCAATTTTTTGGCCCTCAAAGAAAAAGACTCATGGGAACTATACACCAAGGCAGCATCCAGGGCCTCTCAATCTTTGTATTTGTCCCGTCACATATGCATGGTATAAAGCGACAAGAAAGATATCGAAGGAAAGCAATATTTGTTACGCTTGAATCAATGCATGTGTTTCTTGTGCTAAGACACTTACACCACGTATTTGAATGCAAAAGAAACGTACAACAAAAATCTTCGGGTGAATTCCCTAACGTGCAGAATCAGGTTCTAAGAATATTAGGAATGTTTGTGCATGAACCATGATGGCAGTCAATTAACTACATCAAAAGATCCATTAACTACATCAACAGATCAGGACTGCTCTACTTCAAGTCGAGCGCACATCAGCTGACAGTGCATTATTATTAACTGATGAAGTTTTCAATCAAAGCACATTTTCGTAGTTTCCAAGATTCTTACTTGACAAAGTCATAAAACAATTGTATTACCAGCTATTCCTTGTATGGAAATTAAAGATTTGCTTAAAATAAATTAAATAAAAAAATAAAAACAAGGAACTAACATAGCAGAAGGCACAGATCCTGCAGGAACTCTCTTAATGATTACACTGGAACCGCTGGGAATTTGAAAATTCTCGTCATGGAACTCTGAATTCAATCCAAATAAAGTAAATAAATTAGAACCCAGCAGCAGCCAAATTGAAGTAAAATTGAGATAACAAGCGTGTTGTAGATAAACAAGAAAACAAAATCCACAACTAGGATACAGATTGAGATATAAAGAATGCAATAGACCATGGGCGGTGAGGGCATCGGAGAAGACGAGATCAAAGTCTTGGCAAATGTTGAGGTGCTTGTGGAGGACGATCTTAGACCTGAGGTCGCCAACGGATATCGAAGAACGACCTTCGATGTCAACCGAGTCGAAGTTCACGGAGCTTCTAAATTTGAATCGGATAGACATGCCTATGCCAAATTGGTGACCACCACTCAAAGTATGTGCATATATATATATATATATATAGATAGAGAAAGAGGGAGGATTGTTGTAGTTGGTGGTATATGATGATGAGGATTGTTGTATTCAGATGTGTGAGGAAGGAGAGGAGTATGAATTGGGTTTTTGAGAAGGGAAGACAAGTTACTCCTTGCAGAGAGGACGAAAGAAAGAAGATGGTCCGAAACCTAAATAGATGAATTCAATTGCCCCCAAGCGTTGAATCGAAGCGGTTACAAAGGAGAGAAAGAGTAAAGTCACGTGTTCACAGCGTGCATGTGCTGTCGTTTTCGTAGGGGCCAAATTATCCCCTACCCCTCTCAACTATTACGGCTTTTCGTTTTACCATCTCAAATTAGAAATTGATGTAAAAAAATTGGTAATTTAAGGACTAAAGTGTGTTTTATCCTTTTCGTTATTACCTTTCTATTAGGATAGCTCTAAATACACTCCAAAATATTGGTTGAGTATCTCATGGCAAATTCTATTTTCACACACATAGTTACTTTAGTATATATTTTTTCTCAATGCATACGTAACAGTTTGATTGTTATTTTTTATTTTCATTCTACACATCAATTATGCCAATCATACCCTTAACTCATATATTGTACACACATCTTGATCGCCATGATCCTGAATTGAAGCATTCTCTACGGTTGGCTCTCAAAGGTATAGATGATCATGAGAACAAACACCTACAAGATGATCTTGATGAGGGTGATCAAGATGCAGAAACTGATGATCATGATGAATTTGAGGAAAATTACGTTGTGCGTGGGGATTGCAGGGTAATATATATGAGATGCATGAAGGCTCTGCAAAGAGGATGAAACTATATGCCAGGGTCACGAAGATATTAGTTTAAGGAATTCTTTAATTCTTTAAACTGTACTTTCAAATTTCTCCCGCAAAATACTTAAGCTGATATGAATCAAGTGTTTAATCATTTTTCACTTCAGTTAGAAGAACAGAAGCTACAAATTCAAGCACAAATGTTGGAATTGGAGAAAGAGAGGTTTGAGTGGCAAAAATTTTGTAGGAAAGAAAACTGTGAGTTGGAAATGATATCATATATGAGGATGAAACTTGAGAATATGCACATGGAATTGGATTTGAAACGAAAGGAGATGGATGTTAATGATGATGAAGCTAGGGTTTAGTTTTTCTTACTCAAAAAGTCTACATTGAGATTTTTTTTTTTATTTTTAAAAGGGTATACGGAGAATATTTTCATATAATATTATAAGTGTTAATGGATGTCCAATATAGTTGTTTTAATTTAGGATACAATTGCCATTAAAATAATATTTCATTAAGTGTGTGTACACTGAGATAACTAGGCGTGTAGAAATAGAATTTCCCGTTGTCTTCTCTCTTCTTTCTTTTTTTTTAAATTATGTTCTATCCTTAAATTAGATTACCAAAATAGACATCACTTAAAACCCTAACCTCTAACCCTATTATTACCTCTCTTAACTCCGGCCACCACCTCCGCCTACTACCCGTAGCATCAAAGCCCCCTCTCAACCACTTGCTTACACAAATTTGCTTGCCTCTACCTCTTTCTCCTTCGCTACCACCGTCGCCACGTCCTTTCTATCTTCATCGCTACCTCTGTCGCTACAAAGTCCCCCTCTTTTTCTTCTATCTTTTTTTATTTTATTTTTTATAAGTTTTCCATGATATCAATAAATGTGTGGTTGACGATATCAATTAGCATAAGCCCATGTATATAGTTGATTCAAATCTTATTTAGTTTTGGATTTCTTACTGGTTAACAACAATTATGGTGGTATGAGAATCTTGTCTTTTAGGTTTATTGACATGGATTGGCACCTCTATTTCATAATCACCCTATATGTTTTGCAGCATGTGTCCTCCTAGTTGTACAAAAACATGAGTAATGTTAGAAATTTTAAGAATTCTATCAAAAATTCTACCAAATGTCTGACATGGGTGAAGGACCCATACAATGTGGGTCCCATACTCATGTGAGACATTTGGTAAATTTTTTGGGATCTCAAACATTTTTGAAAACATATTTTAATTGTAATTCTCAATTCTATAATGATATGGTCGAATCCTTAGGTCAGAAGGGTGCTCTTGAAGCATTTCAATTGGATTTGGAGGAGGAATAGAGGGGTCCACAATGGTGACGACGAAGGTTGAGCAGAGGGATGACTGAGGTTAGGAAAGGCTAACTAGAGTAGAGGGATGAGTGAGGGAGTTCACGGCGGTGATGGGAAAGTTGGTCGAAGGATGCCGAAAGTGGGAAGAAGTTGCGGAGCTTGGGTTTGGATTGAGAGGCCAGTTAGGGTGTGGACGGATAATATTGGAATTATTTGGAGTATTCAAAGTGAAAACAATAAATAAATAAATTTAAGCTTGGGGTGTGTTAAAGGATTGGAGTGCTCAACCAAATTCTTGGCGTGCATTTAAAGTAACCTTTTTTTATTTTTTTATTTTTTTACAAAGATAATGTTAATGGAAAATGTTTGACGGCCACAATGGCTCAAAACTGCCAAAACGACGTCGTTTTGACAGTTTTGAGCCATTGTGGCCACAAAATTGTGGCCTTCTAGCGTTGTTGAATGTTAATATGTTAGTACAATTAAATTATAATTGAAAGGGTTCACCGTTACTCTATCCACTAACCTCTCCTTCATTCCACCTTAAGATGTGACTAGTAATTCATTGAGCCAAACCCCAAAGAATTCAAAAATCATACATTCCCACATAAAAAAAAAAAAGGAAAATTTGGCTATAAACCCCCTTTACCTTCCTTTCATTGTTAAAAGGACTAAGAAAAAAATTATACTTTATAAACCCCCTCATAATTATAAAGTCTTGCATAAAGGACAAAATTTATAATTTAAATATTTTATTAGACTATTATACCCTCAACTAAATTTTCCCACCTTTTCCACCCACTCTCTCCCCCACCTTCTCTGTCTCTCTCCTCTCTCCCTTCTCTAACTCCTCATCACCTTCTCCAACGCCGGCAACATCTTCGCCTTCGACAACCCCTCCGTCGACTCCGTCCTCGACCGTTACCTCTCCATGACTTCATAATCCTCCAGAGCCTCCGCAAGCTTCTCTTCCCTCTTTCGACATAGGGTTTCAACTCAAATCTATGCACCATGAACGATTCCGATCTCTAATCTTCCGAGATCGACCTACGTGAACCGTTGTAGAATCGGCGAATCCCTCATCAGCAACCGTTGATCAAACACAGTTCCTGCAAATCGCACTGATACATATATATATATATATGTTTTGAGTCTTTAAGATCGGAGATTTGAATGATTTTTTAGTAGAAGAGAGAGCTGTTACATCAAGTTTTCGACAAAGAATTCGAATTGTGAAAGAGTACAGAGACGAATCGCGCGACTGTTCGAAATTTTCATATTTGAACACAGTTCTTCAGATTTTTCATATATATATATGTGTGTGTGTGTGTTTGTGTGTGTGTGTGTGTGAGTGTGAGAGAGAGAGAGAGAGAGAGAGAGAGAGAGAGAGATTTTTCATTTGGATAGTGTTGTTAAGTTCTTAAATTGATCTATTGATGAGTTGTTACTATGTTCTCTCAACTTTTTGTTGTAAAATTGTTTTTGATTTTGATAAATTTTTGTGTCGTAAGTGAGCAATATGGATTGTGTATATATATAGATAACAAAGAAGTCAAAAAGGTGATACGAAAGAAGCAAGTAACTGTGAAGAAACAGAAGAATAGTGGTTGTGAATGATCTAATTTCATTTGATAAAACCAGAGTAAAATTTTACTCTGATTCTATTGCTCTGTTTTATTTTACTCTGTATAAAAGTAAAATTTTACTCTGGTTCTGTCAAATGAAAAAAACAGAGCAATAGAACCAGAGTAAAATTTTACTCTGGTTCTATTGCTCTGTTTTTTTCATTTGACAGATTCAGAGTAAAATTTTACTTTTATACAGAGTAAAATTTTACTTTAGTTTCAGAGTGTAACATTTTACTCTTATTCAGAGTAAAATTTTACTTTCATACAGAGTAAAATTTTACTCTGAAATATACAGTGAAGATGGCTTAATAGTAGAGCTGATAGATATGAGGGTATTATAGTAAAATAAACAAGTTTTAAAATATTAGGGGATTTTGAAAGTACTTATATAATTCTTGTCCTTTTGAAAGACAAATTAGATAGTGAGGGGGCTATCACCAAATCCCCCCCAAAAAAAAAAGAAATTACGTCTTCCATTCTCCACAACATTGCCAAAAGGATAATATGTGCTATCAATAGAATTACAAAATATTTTTTTTTATAATTAATGAAAGTTAAAAAAATATAAATGAGAAATAAATTAGTTAAAAATAAATAATAAAGGTATTATGTTAGCATTTTAATCTTATTCTATTAGAAAAAAATAAAAAAAATATAAATTATTTTTATATAAATATATTTAACAAATATAATCCAGGCAGAAATGGGTTAGAACAAAGCAAAAAAAGTTATATCTCCGTCCCATATTTCATCGAGGCGAAAAAATTGTGTCAAGCAGAACAGGACATGCAGGGGCAGAGTGGAATAAAATGGCCATCCATATTATTCTCCGACTTATTTTCACTTGTGATAACTATTGGAAACTTATTTTTATATTTTCATGTTAAATCCTTAGTTTGAAAAGATTTTTAAAGAATAGAATAACATGTTCCAAACTTGTTATTGTTTCACAAATTTAAAATTTTAAAAAATAAAAATACAAAATTATATATTAAAAAAAAAGTGAACTTTCCCTTCTTGTCCTCACCTAGTCCTTTAAGAGCAACCCTAACATATTTTTGGAGTTAAACAAATCCTAACAGTTAATGTCAAACTCTACATAGTAATGGTAGTTTTAGTTAAGTCAGCTTAATATATAACTTTAAATTGATACAAAATTCAAATAGTTGTATATTTAACTTTTTAAAGAGAATATTTGAAATTTAAATTTATGGAGAAACGTGAATGCCCACCTATGCTACCCCTTTTTTTTTTTTCCTTCATTATGATTATTATTATTATTTTTTGGCTGGGTAAACATGCTACCCTATTATTACAGTAAAAAAAAAATTATCAAAAAAACATTTAAAAAGAAAAAAGAAACTAGTAAAAGTTGGGTTGTGTTTAGTTGTCAACACGACCATGCTGGCCCATAGCTCGTCCACTTTGTCCAGGATATATTTCGGACTTAGCTGTG